AGTCTGCATGCTACTTCATTAGTCTAAGTTGAATCAGCGAGTGAAGGTTATATCTTTTCCAGTAAATTTAACTTGCTTCAGTGATGTAAGTCGGCTAATTAAGATTAACTTTGTTTGTTTACTGTTTCAGTTATCTGAAGAATCAACAAGGTTGAAGGCTGAGAACACCATTGCGTTAAACATATTGATAAACGCGGTCTGTGAGCTGGGGAGAGATATTGAGAGATTGAAGAAAAGAAGGAAGTGTACAGAAGATATTGAAGACGTTTCAGAGAAAGTGCAGAGATTGTCCAAGGAAGAGGAACTTCAGATGGTTATTTGGGAGATTTTTGGACCAGAAGATACCTCGGATGCAGTCCCAAACAGCGGTTCTTGATCACAAGGTTCAAAATGTAGAGCAGGAGTTTCGGGCAATTGTGTCTGCTCCATGGAATTAAGCAAGCCAATATATCTAGTGACTATTTTGAGTTTGTAGAAACTTAACTTACCCTAGCTAACTAAAAAGGTCTCTGTACCTTGTCTTGAAAATATGAGCTATCTATATAATTTTGGTGACTAAGTAATAGATCCCATAATAACAATTCCATTAGAAAATGGATGAACTATAAAAGCATAGAGAAAATAATTTGTTTCTTACATAGCAAACATTCTCTTACAAACCACAAGACATTTTGTGTGATTTCTATCGACGACCCAAACGATAAGTAAGAAGAATATCGTTTACTTGGTTATAATCAATGAGTCTCATAATCTTAATTAGATAGGAGATGCGTAGGTCATTTGTAGCTACAATCTCCTTGTTATGTTGATCATCCTCGACAAAGTACAAGGATGGTGTATACTTGTAGTAGTCTAAGTCGCTTTCTGCCCACCAATTAGTTATCACCAAAACTCCCCAACTATTAGCTCCCATGTCGTACACATGAACCACACCTTCTATAAACTCAATTTTCTTCTCCCTCACCACAAGACGCTTACCATCATACAAAACCACCTGCCAACATACAAGCTCTTTTTCGTCCATCGATACGTTCTTGATCCGCCTAGCGAGATCCCACTTGAGATTTCKATCTAGTGTGTAAACCGAGATTGCTTCTTTCGTCCCCGATATTAAGGTCAGGCGATTGATCTTTTCGTCTACTGCGAAAAAGAATTTCATGTCTGGTTTCCGATGGAATCTGGAAGGAATCAGTTTTGCTTCCTCTGTCTCGGGATTGAAAGCTATTATGCTTCCGTCGTTTCTCAACCAGTGAAGAGTGTCGTCCAAGTAAACAGGTTTCATTCGAATCGTGAGATGGCTTTTTGAACCAGTTGTCATGATGGTCGTTTTCGATAATCTCCAAGAATCTCCATCGTCGCTGATCTCGAATCTATACATGGTTTGCATCTCTTGTATGCAGACGATCTTGAATCTTTTCTTGGCTTGATATCTAGCTACCGCGAAACCAACACACATTGCTCTCGCTGCACGGACATTGAGACGTCCATCGGGATGATAAGGACCAACTATCTCAGGGAGAAATTTTGACTCAGAGTGATCCAGTAATCGAAACCGCTTTGTGAAGGGATTTACGACGAAGAGATCATCGATGTATAAGAGGAGAAGGCCGGAGCAGCAGCCGAGAATGTAACATCGCTTTTTAACCTGGTCTGTTTCATTTCCCGGTGACATACAAACACTAGAAGAGACAAAAGACTGACAATAGACGAAATTTCTGTATTTGTCCCTAAAGCTGGAAATGTAGAACAAGCTGGATTCCACTCCAGGAAAGCGGTAAGAATCAAATTTTGGATCAGATATATATGATCGGAAAAATCTATTTGTGCATCCAATGCTTGCCACAGATACAGGATCTATTTTGAAGAGAATTTCGTCGAGAAGATCCAAGGGTAAGTCATTCATGATCAGAGATGAATCTTAATGTGAAAATCTTGGGGTTTTTAGGTTGTTAGATAGACAACAAATTCTAACATTACACACAAAATAACAAGTTTTAGTAAAAAAAAAGAAAGAAGCAATTTTGTTACATTTTTATTGGTTTTGAGATGAAGCCTAATTATATAATTAATTATATTTGATGAAAATTAAATTAGAGATTATACATATTTAGTTTTGTAAGATTACAAAATAACATGCATGTTAGTTATTAATTTGGACAAAATGTTAAAAACAATATAATATCCAATAATGAATGATAAATATCTTATCTTTTGTTCTTATAAATAAAGATAAATAAAGTAAGACAATCTCACCATAATATGAGAGTTATAAAATTAAGAGATTTGATAGAAAGGGTAAGTTGTTCATGATTAGTGAGATGAATCAAAATGAAAACCTCGTTATGCTTTTGCTTCTTAATTTGAAAATCTTGGGGTTTTTCAATGATTTACACACGAACACAAAAGGTAAGAATCAATTTTTGTAATTGATAATCTCCATTACAAGAGCAAAATAACCAGTTTTAGTGAAAAATAATACAAATTTGTTACATTCTTCTAGATTTTGAGATAAAGCCTAATTATATAATTAATTATCTTTGATGAAAATTCAATTAGAGATTATACATATTTAGTTTTGTAAGATTACAAAATAACATGTTAGTTATTATTAATTTGGACAAAATGTCAAAAACAATGTAATATCCAATAATGAATGATAAATATCTTATCTTTTGTTCTAATGAATTTTTTTGTTTGTTTGTTACTGATCATGGTGTTGTGAAAGAGTAGTTTCCTTATAGATAAAGTAAAAAACAAATTCTAGCAAAATTTACAATTCAATTTCATTAAAGGGAAAAGTACGACAAAAATGCAAATTTATTCATTTTTATGGATATTTATTAATAGATTCTAGGTGACCACTCTGATGATCATTACATAATTTGTACGGTTGTGCTCTGTTTTATGTTTCTCATTTGTCTCATTTATGTCTATTAATCTCTCTATATTGTATTAAAAACTCTTAATTATTAAGTATTGTTGATCGATCAATGTTGACTCATGTGTAATAAAAAAAATTGTATAACTCGGTAGGTTTAAGTTTAACATCTTGTAATTATCTAATCTTGTTATAAAATATGAGAAAATTTGGTTTGAAAATGGGTGGTTCTATAAACACACTTTGTCGAATTCTTTTTCATCTTAACCACATGCACATACATATATGTTGATTAATATTATTATTTTTCATGGGAAAAACAAACATTACCCACTCAGCAGTGAAAGCCAAAAAAATTAGCCAAGAGAACAATACCAAATGTTTATCATTCTATGAC